TACGAAGGACGTTGAGACCAGCAATGGAACCGGCATCTTGGTGGCCTGTCTCTGAGAATCGTTGAAGTATGCAGGGACAGTGACGACGGCATCGTCGACCTTAGTGCCAAGATATGCCTCAGCAGTCTCCTTCATCTTTACCAGCACCATAGACGAGATCTCTTCAGCATGGAACTTCTTGACCTCGCCCTGATAGTGCACCTCGATCATAGGCTTACCATCTGCACCAGAAGAGACCTTAAAAGGCCATAACTTTATATCGTGCTGAACGACCTGATCGTTGAACTTGCGGCCAATGAGACGCTTGGCATCAAAGACGGTGTTCTCAGGGTTCCTGGCAACCTGGTTTTTGGCGGCATCGCCGATCAACCTCTCGGTGTCGGTGAAGGCAACATAGGAAGGGGTGGTACGGTTACCCTGGTCATTGGCGATGATCTCAACCGTGTCGTTTTTCCAGACGCCAACACAGGAATAAGTAGTACCAAGATCGATACCGATAGCAGGGGACTTCTTAGCCATTTTTAAGGATGTGGAAGAGCTTGAAAACCTGAGTGAGAGAATGCAGAATATTCGATAGTGTACACGAAGATGCGACTTCACATTCGAATACCACGGGAATGTTTGGATGCGCGACGGGTGGCGAGCGAGATTTGATGCACGCATGAGCATGCGCCGTTGGAGGACGCGCTCGCCCTCATATGGTGCGACCTCAAGATTCTTTGCAAGGAGAGGAGTGATTTCTGCATCCTGGCCGGCGTTGGTCAGATCGAAACTGGGGCCGGAATGCCATTCTTCATACATCCACTCGACGAGTATGACGGTCACGCTGTGACCAAGTATCTCATGGACTCAATAATCTAATGATCTGAGTTGTTCCCCATTGCCGATTTGGAAAGTGCCAAGCAAGCAAGGTGGTGAAGGTTATTCAGGTTATCAAAGTTTCCCTGCTCAAGCTTCGCCGCTGTTCAATATTGACACTGATTGTTTCCTTTGGGAATCCTCTTACACAATCAAGTTGTACTTGCACATGAGTGCAGGATAGGATTGGGCTTTGGTTC